CTTTTGGCAAACTCTGTTATAGGAGTGTTAATCTCCAAGGAGAAAAGGCAGACAGCTGGGAAAAAGGGAATATTTTCAAACTGCCGTAGCTTTCTTCTTTATGATTGAGTAAAAAATGTTAGTATCATTACTTTGTGACGTAAATTATCTGAAAGAGCAGTCTTACGATATAAGATAATTTAAAGCTACACTGACATTGAAAGGGAAGTTTCATCCCTGCCCAACACATGGTTCAACAGCAGCGTTTATGCAGCCGCACGGTGAGAGCCTGGCCACCAAAGCTATCCAGCTGAAAGCTAACCATGCAAAAAACAAACAACCACCAAAAAAAAAAAAAGAAACAAAATTTGTTTTCAGAGGAATCAGTGAACTACTCCAGCTCTCCACACATGCCAATACTGACAGATGCTAAGCACAAGAATGCAGGGCTCAGAGAAAGGAAGAGAAAGCAGAAGGGACTGCATGTTTCAGCATCAGCTCAAGCTGAATATGAAGGATGAGAACAAAAAGACGACAAAATCTGGAAGTATCAAAAGCGGAAAATCAGAGAAAAGCAAATCTTTAGCTGTTCCACTATGTGGTATGCAGATATTGTTTGTTAGTTTGCATTTTCCCTTCTCTGCCTTTTAAAAGAAGCAAATGCCCTTCATACAACTACCAAACTACAGTGTAACGATATTTTCCTCTATATACATTTCCTCTAATAACTAAATAAATGTTATATGAAAACAAATGAAAACTTGATTTTATGAAATTTAAAACAAGCTAATGAAACTGAAGAACACAGCAAATATTACAACAAAGGTTAATATTACATGCGTTTTGGATGTTACTTGCAAACAAAGGTAGCTATCAGCTGCTACCTAAAGGGGTGATCTTGCTCTCTTCGTCTCACTTTTTGTGTTGTCATCAGCAACTCTGTGGTTATAGGACGAATTGGTTCAGTAAACAGGGTGCGATGGAAAACTAATTCTCCAATTAAAAGAAAAAAAAACAAAACAGAGACTTCACAAATATGTCATATTCTGCTATATCAACTCAAAGAACTAATTCATCCTCTACTAAAGAATCATTTGGTTGGTCCACTATAACCAGAAAGGAAAGGGATATGTAGCTGGAACTGGAGGGAATATGGACTGACTTGTTGGTCGTAACCCATCACTACAACAGTTTAACTCTGGTGTCATAGATACACACGCAGTTTCATGCCAAGATTAGCACTTTATACACTGCAATTTGCATGACTGTATTTCACAGCATTTCCTTCTTCCCCTACTCAATCTGATATCACTTAATAATAAAAGTATTAAGATAGATTTCACATAAAATCGTCTTACTAAATTGCAAATTGCTCCTGCCTGAAAAAATGGGTTTCCTTTTCATTCTATGTTCCAACAGTCACACTGTTGCAGCAGTGCATGCTCTAATACTAAGTTTCATGTTAATTACAGCTAAGAGTACATGTTTTCACGAAAGGACCAAAAGCCTTTTCCCAGCATAATCAAAATTCACGCAAATTATGTCCCCTAAACTCTCGTAATAGTAGTTTCAATAAAAGAAAATTCTGTAACATGCATTAAGTATGTCACAATGACAGTTCATAAAATCAGACATGCATGAAGATGATGAAATGGGTTGTTTTTATTTAAAAAGCACAGGGCATACCTTTAGCATTTTTCTTCTTCTACTGTACCTATTTTTTGTTTTACTTTGTTTTGTTTTTAAGAGGAACATTCTGTTTGGAAAACAGTTTTAAATTTTCTATAATTTTCTTTGCAACTTAACAAGGCTCAGTGGAAACTGAGATCTTTTTAGTCAAACCAGGATCCCCTACTATCCACTTTTTCTGATTTTATATGAATAATAATTTCAAATTTCCGTCATTAGCTTAACCTCCTTCATGCTTTCCCTACAACTGCTTCCTCTCATAGATTCCAGTATAAAGCTGATGTGGTTATCAATGAATACACCATTGTTAGCACATTTTTAAATGCTCACAAGCCTCCATAAGCCTTCCACCCATTTCCACTGTTTCTTCAGATAACCTATTTCCAATTTTCCATTTTAGCTCTCTACATAATAAACATGAAAACGTCGTCATTTTTACAGAAATGACTAATCTCTCTAGAGCTCTTTTACTTCCTTGGGTTTCCTCTTTTGCCATGTTCCCAAAGCTGTCTTCTTTTTCAAGATAAAACTATTCAAGATTACAAACATAGTTTTGCAAAACAGGAAACAATGGCTTTACGTTTATGCTTAGCATTAATCAGCCCAGCTATTCTTCCATCTTTTCCTTAAGACTTCCAATTTGCTTATGTATTTTCAATAACTTGCTCTGTTTCTTTAAACAAGATTTCCCTTCTTCCAAAATGATAACTACTGCCTGCAGCCTGTTTCTTAGATATGGCCACAGGAACACCCATTTCTAAACAGATTTTAGAAAATAGAAAATTAAATATCAATAGATTTTCTTTATTTTATTTCAACTGTACTCCTTAGAAGTGCTCTCAAATCTTCAATTAACTTAAACTGCTTTAGCTAATTTGACAGAGACTGCCTAAGCCACCTTTTTCTTGGTGTTACAGGATGCATTGCAGAAGGCTTCAAATTGCTTTTCTCAGCAATTGATGCTAAGGTTTGTGCTTGCGAATATCTCAAAACCAATCTAATTATGAACTTTCCAAAGATGTGGGATATAAGATTTTTTTATTTTTTTTTTTTAATCTGGCTACAACTCCTGACAGTCTTGATTCAATCACTCTCTATTCCAGGAGAAACAAAATAGCTTAAAAGACAGTGAAAAGACGAAGGACAAAGTGCTGAAGATAGATGAAAAAAGAGTTGCAATAAGTGAAAGAAATACATATCAGGCTGACATAAAACTGGTTTAAAGTAATTGGAAAGGAAGGCATCGAGCCTGACTTGTCTTGACAGAGCTCAGGAAAGAATGTTTGACCCAAACCATAAAACTTCATAAAAGTAGTTGTAAAACAAAAATGAAAATTGTTAAGCCTTGACTAAGTCAATCGCAATGACAATAAGCAACACTGAAATGTGACAAAGTCTCCATTAACACAGAGTCAACTGCTTTTATAAAACACAGATAGACCCTCAAACCAAGGGTGTAAGCTGATTAAACATTTAAAAGAACTAGAATACAACATTATGAAATGATTCAAACCCAAACAACAGACAGAGGAAAACAAAACATATGCCTCATTTTTAGCCCATGACAGAATACACTGGAGTCTATCAACAGAAAGGTCTTCTGGGTGGTCTTTTGCAGTCTACTTTGGAGTTCAAGCACACTCAGGGCTAAATTGCATAGGGAAAAGCACACACGCAGTGCAGATCCTTAGTCTTTGCTTCTGGATTGACAAAAACCTGAAATTATCCCTCAGTGGCAACCAAACACCCTCCCAGTTTGGCAAAGCACTGAACTGTAGTTTAGGACAAACCTGGTATTAACATGCTGTAGAAGTATTGGGTCAACAAAACAGTCTGCAGTGGGTCCTTTAAGTTAGTATGACGAGAGTCAGGATGATTCTCAAAAACATTTGCTGGGAGCGTGTTCCCTTTTTGTTAGTTCTTCAAATCAGCGATAATGGCTTAGGGATAGCTTTATCTTATTCTCTGCTACCAATACACCGCACTGACCGTGCCAGCCAGTTGTGTGCGCCTCTTGCATCTGTAAATACAGCAAACTCCCAAGGCTTTATTATTGTTTAGGGTATGATCCCACAACAGAGATTTTTGTTTGTTCTTTACTGGTTGTTGTTTTTAAACACAAAAATGCTTGAAATCCCTTTTTAAACAACTAGGAGTTTCCATAGATCAGATGGATTTTTCAAATAGTCAAGCTGAAGTCCATATTTTATTTTTCATTTACCTTCTTACTACACAGAGTCATGTGAAATAAACTAAAAAAAAAAAAAGCTTTAATCTGTTATTTTATGGAAAGAAAAACAAAACAAAATACACATACTAAAGGAGAGAACTTGATATCTCATAAGAGCTACTTAAACAAGAAAGAAATAATTATTTCTTACTCAAAACACTAAGACAGGATTTTCTACTTAAAGCATCTAAATAGTTTTTCAAGATGATCCTGAAAAGTAATAACTTTCCAAAACAGCAAAATCCTTCTAAAGTTATATTTTTTTCCGTGAAAGAGAAAAACATTTCCTTGTTCCTTCATCTTTTAATGATATTTACCGGTTTAAGAATCAAGATAATATGCATTTACTATAACAAATACAAATCTGCTTGATATGAAAAAAAATACTAAGTACAAGGTTTAGATTTTTTTTTTTTTTTAAGGTGTCAAGTATATTTTAACATACCTAACAGCAACTAATAAAACATACATAGAACTCAGCATATAATTCTGACTTATTGTGAGCACAGAACAGGCTGCCTGCCATATAGCAGGCCACCTGGGTCAATGTGAACACTCCTGAGACAATCAGCAGTTAACTGCAGCATAAAATTCATAAGCTTTTGACCCTGATAAAGCCTTCAAGATGAAATATTTAAGCAGAATAGTTTATGGTATTTAACTATACACCAGTGCCTTTTTCTCCATAAATGCTTGGGGATTTTTTTTTTCCCAACAGGGCTAGCACTGATCCATATGAATTGTTTTGCAGAACAAGTGCTAGGAAAACATACAAGAAAGCCACTGACACTTGAAACTGACCCATTATAATTTTGGAAAGTAAAGTATTACAAGGACAAAATACAAAGGAAAAAAAAGAGATCTGTAAAACAAGGTGCCTTATGCAACTCAGAAAATGCTGAGCTTCCAGAAATCCCCATTCTCGTCTGCTTCAGACAATTACTTCAGAATGTCTTTTTGAATACTCTGGACCAATTGTTAATAGGAGATTTTGGTTCCAAGATAACATTCACAAATACGCAAATAATTACAACTACATATAAACATTCATCTTACCACTGTAAAACAAACCAGAAAAATTATAGAACAGTTTTGTACATACCAATGCACCCTCTTCACATGTCCAAGCATTTGGATTAAATTCAAGTTTACTGACACAAACTACAAATTTGTCTGGAAACACACGTAGCTCTATGCAAAAAAGAATTAAAAAGAAGATTGTAAAAATTAAACTCGTATTCTGACATGCATGCATTTTATTTTTGTAAAGAAAAGATGGTGTAAATGGCGCAATAACTCACTTCATGCCCTCCACTGCTTGCTTGTTTATTTTCAAGATCACATCACTGATTTTTTATTATTTTTTTGCTTTTTTAATCCTTAAAAATAAAATAAAATCAATACGTCAGTTTAATTCCCAAGAGAACAGTCACTGCTGCAAATTAGTCCAACCACACCTCTGAACAACTATACTAGACAGAACCAAGAGAAAAAAACACTTCACAATGATTTATTTTGTGCTATTCTGGTGATTAGTCTTTTCATAGCAAAAGCTACAAATTGTGTTTGCAGTACAGCACAACATATTCAATCAGCACTTGATACAAAAAATCAGCGTAAGACCAAGTGTTTCCAACACTGACTATAGTGATTTTGAAGTCACTAAATAAATTAGTTAACTGTTACTGAATTACGTATTTTACTCAAGATCACATGGTTTGTTGTGAACACACCCAAGTTGCTAGTAACAGAGGATTGAAAATGGAAGGGTTCTCAGATTAAAACAGACCAAGCATAGCTTTATTCAACCCCTGGAAATGATATGCAAAGAGGAAAGCTGGATACTTTATTTGACATATCTGGTAATTTCCAGATCAACACCTTCATATTTTCACCTGAACTTTTTCTCCCTTTCTTTCTTAAGACAATTACTAGATTTTAAAGTTTGCTGTACTTCCAAAACAAAACACAACACCGTATTTTCTGGGACAGGAAGACACAGCATGCAGAAAGATACCCAGGAGGTTGACCTCAGAGATTTTTGTAAAGTATCTCCACATAATAAATGGAGTACACTCAGGATGTACATAATTCACCAGTGTGGGTCATTTATGTGGTCAACTGCTTCTCTAGAAGGCAGTGCTCCTTCACCACCAGCACGTGTCCAATAGTATCCAACTAACCATTCCAAGTGCTTGCCAGCATTGGCTTTGCTAGAGTAATTACTATGAAAGATGGGGGTGTTAAAACTGACTATCTTGTACTTGCCTTTGGTTGAAGAAGTGTACACAGAGACCTCAGATGCATGTTTGTTGGCAAAACTACTTGTTAAGCTACTGTAACTGGATAAAGAGTATGATGAGCCTTTCAGAAATACTGGCTCTATAGGCAAAACTGTTTCCAAGGAAATATTCATCCTGTGCCTTATGACCAGACTGCTGTTTCTCTGCTTGTATCCTCAAGACGTGAGAAGCCACCCCCAAAGTTCTTGTACGATGGCTTTCAAACTGACACAGACCGCTTCCAAATGAGATGCAAAAGAAAAGCTGGACAGCTATTGCAAGGACTGAATTTGCTGTGCATGGTTCCAATAATCATCACTTTGTAAAGCTGACTTTGGATACTGACACACCATTTACAGTATGCAAGATTCTTTTTCTGTTAGGCCAAATGTCCATTTTTTGTCTGTGAAACTACAGATGTATCTTACTGAAATGAGACACAGGTATCGAATTATTTTGTGAGGCTATTCTTCTGGTAGTTATTGGCAGTGAAACCCAGCAAAATGAAGTTTCTCTCTTGCTAGAAACTTTGTGTAGAAAAAAAATTTGACTGCGGAATCAAAGCCTTTCTTTTTAGCAGCACTACTACAGCAAGTTCATTCCAGTTAGCAACTTTTATTGTCATACTTTATGACAATCTCACTTGCTGATTAACAAAATGAAAGTATCTTTAGGCACAATGATATTTGATTGACACTTTAAAAAGGCCTGGAATTTAATATACAGAAAACAATGCCGTGCTGAGGCACTAGTGCACAATCTATTGTTCCAGGAGACAGGGGGAACAAGTTTGATGAAACATTTAAAATAACACTGCAATGGATTAAAAACAGTTGGTATTTGAAGAGATTTAAACACTGACGAATCCAATGAATTCCTATAAAAATAGGAAATACCTTAAAATACTATTCAAGTAGTCAATATTTTTAAAGGAACATGAAGAATTTTTATTATTATTATTATTTTTTAATATGAAAAGCTCAACACAAAGGGCAGTGATCATTACAGCTCCTCTTTATTGCTGTTGGCAGGACAGGATTGATATCATTTCCTTACAGAGCATCTTGGCTTGAGAAGACTTGAAAAAAGATCTGGTCCAATGACATCACCTAAGTTAAGGTTTTATAGCACTGAGCCGAATGAAAGCTTTTTCTTGCATGCACTTGTACTACACAGTTGATGTCACAAGACACTCAAGCAATAATGAAGTGATTCATACTGCAACCTCTGGTTGATTCACCCTGCAGAGACTCAGTAAAATGCTGAGTGTCATCAACTTTCAGAATTTGGTGTGGCTTAGCTGATTACCCTGGGGGCAAGGTATACAAAAATTTAAAATTAAGTTAAAAAAAAAAATCCATCATATGGTAGGAAACTCTTCTCATTTTTCAGCAAACATCCCCTTGAGAAAAAAAGTCAAGCTCCCAAACAGATCTTGATTAAGCAGACCAAAATTTAACAACTGTTAGTTTGCATCCCTTTTTTTGCCCTCCATTTTGAACAGAATTTTAAGTAATATTATTAGAAAATGATTTCTTACCACGATAATGTTTCCCTACAGCACAACGGAGATTAACCCATCTCTTCATAAAATAGGCAGTAATGTGAAAACTGTTGGCTGCAACATAAAACAAAGAGATAATAATAATAAGTGTAAAGGTACATCAGATATTTTGGTCTCAAAGTGTTGCACATCTAAAAAGATAAGATTGGTTGAGAGAAAGAAGCTGCAGCTCAGGAAAACATATCTTTAAAGAAATATTTAAAAAAGAAAAAACTACTCATATTGAAATCTCAAGAAATTCATACCTGGAACAGGAGGAAGAAAAAATCTAAACAACCTACTAAACTTCAGGTTCTGGTACACAACCAGAAACATAGTTAAGTCAATTAACTGATCACAGTTGCTATCCACTTAATAAGCTACTGCCTCAGTCATTAGTCCACAAGGCTAGACTCCTAGTTACTGCTACGTTTTCATTCATATTCTACACAAAAACTACGGGCAACCTTTTATTTAACTACTTTATTTAACTACTTTCTGGAGGAAGACGACATGCTCAAAGCTGATACAAAAAATGCCGGCTATAAAAATCCACAAGAGGCCTAATTATCTCCACTTGCATTGAATTAAGCGAGAAATGCATACATTTAGCCTCCTCAATATCCACAAGCACACAAAGCTAGCCTGGCTGCCCCAGCGATACCTGTAATGGACACAGAGGTTTCTTCAGTTTCCATTCCTGAGAATGACAGAAATCCTTGTGCACCAGGAGCATAAGAAAAGGACAGAAAGGATTATATTACAGCAAAGAGACTCCAAGACTAGAGCTAAGGAAATCAGCTTTTACTTTTGTTCTACTTTAATTCCCAAATGACCCTGGGTAAATCAGGACTTGATTCATAAAGGTATTTAGCAACTTAACTCCCACTGAAATTGAAAGAAGTGAGAACCTGTGACTCCTCCTCCTCTGTCTCCTCTGTAGTCTCTCCTTACACCTCAGTAAAATTAATTTGCAAAAGGCAATTAATGACATTTCCCCTGACTCTGGTGGTTCTGCAATACTTATAATAGTGCTCTTTCCAAGACAGTCAGCTACCCTAGATGCAATTACCACGTAAGTTCAAAAATCAAGTGCTACTGCTGTTCTCTCCAAACATTTAACAGGATGTAAGAGAAGCCCATGTGCTCCTTTCCCAATCCCTGGAGCAAGTGCTAAAGCACATCGTATTCCTAAATACAAAATAAAATATGCATGTCCTCTCCTGCACGGTCTGTAGCTCTCCTACTTGTACTCCAAATCTCCCGGAGCTCACCATGCAGTGCTGCTCAGCATCAGTCCTCGTTAAGAACTATAGGTATTGATCATAATCCCTTTGAAATTTATCAGCCACCTTTTTTTCCTTCCCCTCAGGAAGATACTGAAAGTATCTGAAAATTTGACTTCCCTTTAAAGATCAAGTCAAGATTCGACAAGTTAAACTATCCTTTGAAAACGATGAGTGCTAAAGAAAAAATTGGATGTAATCCACCACCTTTATTAACTGTATATTTATGAACACAATTAAAGAAAATTACTTTTAGCAATTTCCAGTTTGGCATCCATAATTCTTTAACATTGGTAGGATTAGCCAAATCAAGGAATTTGCTCTTCACATAAATAAGTTATCAGTGTGGTGATAGCATTTCCACTGTGATCTCTATCATGCCAAAAAAAGTAACATTCCCAGAAGTACAACTCTCCAAACAAATTTCCAAAACCAGGAATGGAAGTCTTTCCACCTCCGTGTACCTGAAAAAAAATACTTTTCTTGAGAAAGAATAGAAATGAAAAAAGCATGAATTTTTTGCTTTTACTCAGAGAAGAGCACAATACCTCATTTATGAAATTCTTTTGAGAATCGGGTGACACATACATCTGTGTATTTGTCTTGCTATCCTGGTATTCTGAGAAGTTATGCACTTAATCATATTTGATTGACTAATGGCCTAACAAAGTTTAAAATTCTTCTTCAAGGCCCTTGATTCAGCCAGTTACTGTTCCCTGGAGCAGAACACCTACCTCCAATCTATCAAAACATATGCATAAGAGATGCAGAGAGCTTCACACTGTTTTTGCAGTGTCAGCTCAGGTCTGACAGTATTGTAGAGCCCTCATGGGGAGCTGGCACCCAAGCTAATATGCTCTGCCTGGAGGGACTAACACTAAAGAAGAATTTTTGTTTCCACGACTATCTGCTGCTTGACTTTGCTGAAAAAGCCAAAACAGGTGATTTGCTAGTACTTATTGCTAATAGTAGAAAAAAAGTTTAAGATGCATTGCATTCAAAATACCTATATTTTGAAACTATCCTTCAGCTACACTTATCAAATGTTTCGAAACCTCTTGTATGCGACATCTAATCCAACCCATAAAGTCAGCCCGAGTTCATAAACTTCCCAGTATTAAAATTGTCAGGATTATTGCAGAACTATAAAAACCGTGATACCGTCTTTCTGCTTCCTGCAAGAGAAATCTATTATCCAATTAAGCACTCTGCTTCAAGGAAGAAGCAGCTAAAACATAAGCCCCACAAGGGCACCTTATCTCACAACCTCATGCACCTTGCAGGTGTCTGTTTTTTCTTTTTTTTTTTTTTTTTTAAATAAACTTTCTACAGTTATTCAGCATGAGTCTCAATCTGCTCTCAGCTTCAGACTTGTTCACCACCAACTCTGTTTATATACTAGCATATGCTGATGTTGATTCAGGGCAAGCCGTGAATTATGCTCCAGGAAAGAAAGCCAGCGTATACTGTGCGAGCACCAAAAGCTGCTCGTCACGCTGTCTGTAAGGAGGGACCAAGTGAGATGTACCAAATAATCCAGCATTAACTCATTTTAAGTGCACTGTAGAAGGTTTACCCTCAAGCTACAAAAGACTTTTGCAGCCAGTAAGAGAAATTTCACAGATCTTGGGATCAGTAAATCTACTCAGCCTAGCCTTCAGGTTCCTCTTCATCATACAATGCAGACATAGCTCCATTTTGTAAATTACCAACAGAGAAGTAGAAATATAAATTTTGTTACTGGTCTGTAGGTTTTTTTTTTTTTCTTCTAAACTGTGCACCTAAAACATCAGATCCCAGTTTCAAAAAACAAACAAACAAACAAGCTAAACCAAACTACAACTCCAGAGCTCCCAGATGTGACTGAATAAAAGTAATTGTAGAACAGCCACAGCTCACTCTCAGCTGTAACATGCACCAGTGAGTGCTGCCTTTTAGGGGAATGGTAATTTGCCCTGCCTGTTATTATTCAGAGTCCCAAGACACTGAGAGGAAGTATCAGACACTGACTCTGTGCTGTAAAACTATCCAGCACCGCTTGTTTGCCGAAGGAGTAAGAGCCAAGCTGCCTTGAGCTTCCAGCGGGCTGCCAAGAGGCGGCTGTGGTACAGCGTCCAGCAGCGGGAAGCCCTCTCCCACGGCTATTCGAGCCTGCTCATCTGGAGCCTGGGAAAATGCCTCTAAGCTGCTGAGTTATCTCGAGCAGCCTGGCAGGTGTTCACCTCCCAGCGGAATCGGGCACCTGCACAGCTCTGCAACCAACTTGGGGCAAGCCTTTGCCAAAGCCACAGCTCAGGCCTGAGGAGTGTGATTGCCCCCCAAAAGCTTCCATATCCAAGAGGCACCAATTTCTCATTGCACAGGGGTTTTACACCAGCATTAAACACAAATAACAATAAATAAATAAAACAATTTTTTCTCCTAGCCTAGGCATTTCATGTTTCTAACAGATTATCCTCGTCTAGGACTGCCTCTGTTCATAAAGTAAGATCACAGATCCTTGCAACAAATGTTAAAAAAAGATGAATTTCTTTGGTTACGACTTGAAAATAAATAGGTGCATTAGGGCTTTCTGAAATATTGTATTGTACATAAAAAAAAAATCTACATTTTGCCTATGCTAGATTAATTATTCCATGCAAATGAAGCTATTCGAGTAATAATGTTTACAGTATATAGAGCTTTTCATCTTCAAAGTGATCTACAGACATATTATTACACCACTTTTTAGCGGTCATATTTCTCCTTTTAAAATTATTCACCACCAAATCCAAATTCCTGATCGTTTATAAACTTAGAAAAAAAACACTTTTATTCTAAACCTAGTGTTGATTCTGCATGTTTTCTCTCCCAGAAGAAATTCAGTTCCTCACACCATCTGCCACAGGTCACTATTTCTAATTTAGATGAGATTCAAAACCAAATGTTGCATGTAAATTTAAGCCTAAGTCTGGGGTAAGCTAGGGGCAGCAGAATGGCAGGGAACACCACAAAAAGCCACCAAGACTTCCTGAGTCTTTTCTGGTGTTCTGAATGGGTATGGGATTTCCAGGGCACTACCTCAGATCACACACACACAAAGTATCAGCTTCATATGTAACAGCCAAGCATAACTGATCTTCATCTGATGCAAATTTTTATACAGTAGATAACCAATGGGTCCAGACCAACTTACACAGCTGAGGATGTCAGCCACTCTTTCCATACATTCTCCCTTCAGTTTAAAAATTTTTCAATTATTTTTTAAATTTTCATTATTTCAAGTGATAATTACAAGAAGTACACAGGAAAACATGTAATAATAATAATAATAATAATAATAATAAAAATATCAAAAAGCCCTTTTCCCATTTTTAATAATTAAGAAAAAATACATTTTGGCCTTTAGATTTATATACAATAAATGTGGCCTAAAAGAAAAGCCTGGGTACAGTACTGACCATATACACACGTACGTGTGTGCACATGTGCATGTCAGGAAGAGCGAGGGTAAGCTAAGAGACATTAATGCAGCACTGCAGGCACTATTCGCCATGCACAAAAACAAAGCACTCCTCTCTTATGGTTCTACCAATTGCTCACTTGTGTTGCAAGTATGCAGGGTCTGACCTTGATAACTCATATCTGCAAATAAATTCAATGACTTAGTTTTCTTCTGTATTTTCCAGGGTGCCTTACAGCCAGTTTTAACAAAGTACAGGCAAAAACTGTTTCGTTTTGTGTTTTTTTTTCCTCCTTACTTTCCCTTTCATGATTTTGTCAGTATTAGCACTATTCTTCTAGTCACTAAATCTTCTGAAAACAGGCTATTTGTTGACACAAACAGGTAGAAGATCTATCTCATCGAGGATCCGGGAGCAAGATTTGGCTCCTATCAGGAAATAGGGCCCCTGCTAGATGAAGTAAAGAAAGCTTCAAATTAATCCCATCATGACAGGAAGAGATATGCCTAGCAGAATCCTTTTTGCTATTGGAACACAGATATTTGGACATGGCACAGTATCTAAAAGCTTCAGCCCATGAGCCATTAGCAGCCAAACTGGACTGATGAAACCCAAGAGCAGGGTTGTAAGGCTCTCCTCTAGCGGGGAAAGGGAGGAATTCACTCTAACTTTGGAGCTCTACTGAGCAAACTGGACCCAGTATAAGGTGTTTTTTGGCCTGCTTGTCATGGGTATTTTGGAGAGAACTGAAAAGGAAACAAGTGTCAGACCATCCAGGCTGCAAGGTGAGAAATGCATCTGATGGAGACCCTCAGAACATGCCAGCTCTGAAGGAAAAACATGCCTTCCCCTCACTAAAACTTGAGGTGGAAAGGCAGACTGATCCAATCCTGGAGAGCAGCTTTCTCACAAGCCATTCATAATGTAACAGCAATAATACCAAGCACCACCTGCTAATGCATTCGAGCAGATAAAGTAGAGCCATGTATTTGAAGGTCAGTGTACCATTACCACAGACAATTGTTTTCTAATAGGAGACAAGATGTGATTTCACCCTTTAGTTGATCTCAAACTTAATGACCGTATTATTTATTGCACATGACAGACTTCAACACATGAACCGAAAGCTGTTTATGAATCCTCAATGTTCTGAGCATATAAACAGTATTCTGGGGGAAACCACGTGCCTGGAGCTCTTTAACCACTGGAATAAGCCTGACAACTGAGGAGGAGTAAGACATCTGTCAGTGCCAGCCAAAAGGCAAGGAGAATTGAAAAGCAAGTCCCCCGGTAAATGCTGTGACAAGTCAGCAGAGGAGAATCTCAAGTCTTTTCAAAGCAGCTGTATTGTCGTGAAGGAGAAGCTTAGTTAAAAACTGTCTGATGTCACATTTGCACATACCGCACATTCAGCACCATGCTGAGCATCTCCCCTACACTAGCCAGACACAGCTGTATCCAAATCAAGCAGTGTCACGTACTTATATCACTGAATTCCTAGCAGTGATAAAAGTAAGCCTGCCTGTAGAAGGTAGCTTCTAGCTAAAATGAAACAGCCTCAGTGATGGTGACAAGTTTGACTTACGGGGTGCAAGGGAATGCACAGGGCGGCCTTTGAAAGCATGAATCACGTTTTAAAAATATGTCCTTTCAGCCTGACTCTGTCCTTGAAGATATCCATGAGCTTCAAGAAAATTTTTGATGCTATGAAATACCTGAAAGGAGGATTTTGTTTTCTGAATGCCAGGAATCTCTACGAAACAAAATCATGTCTAGAAAAACAAAGAAAAAAAAAAACTGTATGAGCCTTTCAGAATTTAACAAACATGACTGGTTCCCCTTATTGTTCATTAGAACAACATTATTGTAGGTGCCAATGCTATGATGTTAAAAGACTCAAAGGCAAGCAAACCTTTCACAAGTCTCCAGGCTCTTTCCCCTTTCCTCCCCCAGTAATAGGAAATAACTTCTGCAAAACCTTCTTCCCCAAGAGGAAAAGGTTTTAACCCTATAGCTCCCACAGCTGACAAAGACTTTCATCTTCTACCAATAACAAGGTCTTTAGGCAAGGGTCACTAAAAATGTCAGGAACAAGTTTGGAACATGTGGAGAAATGTATGTTGTATCACACTGCTACAAAACCTGTGGGTCTGGTGAAAAAAAGCAAGCCAGTCTGCCTCTGGAGGCATGGTGGGAGGGCATGAGGGAAAGAAAAGCCAGTAGCAGGTATCTTCTGCAGAACTTTAAAAAGATGGCACAAATTGTGGAAAGGTGGTTTCTGCAAAGCTGATCCTGATACACAGCAGGAAACAACATTATCTTCTTTTTATTATTATTTCTCTAAAAACTCCTATTAGGACATCCCAGTGGATCTAAGAGGTAGATGTTGGTGGTCATGACCCCTCTCTTCTTCTACCCTACCATCTCCAGGACACTCCAAAAGCAAGTAAGCTGGAAGAAATGCCTGTGAACTTGAACCAGCATACATTTCAGAGTTGTCTGAACAAAGCATGTTGTGCCAGGGGTTCACAGGTTTTTCTCTGTTCACACAACTGATTGTTTAGGTTTTTAACATCTCAGAATAGAAGGAAATTCTGGAGCATGGCAAATATGTGGAAAGCCAATACAATGAAGCCTTCTGTATTTTATTTTTTTTTAAATGTTAACAAGTGGACCATAATTAAGCCAGCTGCTAAAAGGCTCTACTTCAAAATAATCCTCAAAATTCACTCCAATGCAAATAGGATACCACCAAAAGGACCAAGCCTGACCAAAGATTGTGATCATCTGATCAGTGCCACTCAGCTCTGGCAGTGAAGCAGGTGCCAGTTGTGGTGCAAGAAGCTGGCACCTGACCTCAAAAAGCTTTGTAGCCAGCTGCTCAATTAAGCTTACTCAAGAGGACAACATTATAAGTGACCACCTGAATTGTGCAGCTCAATCTCTTGTAGTCACTGGCAGCAGCTCACCAGATACTAAGTGTCCAAAGGTGAATAGGGCATCCTCTTTCTCAGTATTCAACAGCAAATGCAAAATGACCGAAGAACATGAGCCTATCAGGTGCCATGGAAATACAACAAAAAAGAACAGACAAACATTGCCCATACCCTATGACACATACACACACATGAGAAAACCAAATATTTTAATTAAAGAGTATCAGAAAGACGCTTATAAACAAATACAGGACTGTTGCCTTCTGTTTTGTCTCTAAAGCAAGCTTTGTCACTTAAAAAACTTTGTTTTCCACAGATACATATACAGAATATTGCAATGTAGAATGGTTATCCAGGGAGAAACATTCTTTACTGCGCATTAGAATATCTCAAATCCACTTACCACGTCCAAAATGCATATTCAAGATTGCACTCTTTTTTTTTTTTTCCCCTTCTCAATTAAGAGTCGTTACTAATTGCTGCACTACTGAATTTTAATTTACTTCCATATGTGTTTTTAATAAATTAAGGCCCAGGTCCTGCAAAGCTGGGTCAGTGTAGTTTTGTTTACGTTATGTCACTTGTGCCTTTGTAGTCCATGGAAATAATTCAGTGTGTACAATAAACAATTTATCTAGCACCTTGACTGATGAGGGCTAAACCTATAGAATCAAATACACACCACTGCTCTTACTGAATTATTTACATAAGAAGAGCATGCATGACTTTTTTTCCAGGAATTGGACTTCTGTCTCTACCTGGATGGGTTTCTGAGAAGCCTTCTAAAAATTTTCCAAATACAAATAAACCCACCAAGAATGTTTGCAATTTAAGAAGCTGTATTTTCTCTTTGTCATATGATAACGAACTTTAAGAACAAAAAGACATAAAGGAGAGTATTGTTGTGTAATATGGTAATAAGGAAAGTTGAAGAGAAGCTCATGTTCATATTTAACCATCAAATTACACCCACAATTACTTCCAGCTATAACGAAACTACAAAGGACAAAGTTCAAAACGTATCTATAATGATTTTCTTTTCTTAAGATGCAGTGTCCATTTCTGTTTTTGTTGGACTGCTGGTTATTGTTTGGGGACTCAGACTTGCAGGGAGTGCAAGGGTTAAAGATGTGTAAAACAGATTTTCTCACAGTTTAAAGAGAGCAAAACAACACATTTAGGAAACCAGACAGCGAAAAGGTCAAAACGTTACACTTCCAGGTCAAACTTCTGGTTGCAATTAAGTAAATTCCTCCAAACATTTCTAAGGAAATCATATTTCTTTTAGGTTTTAATTCAAATTCTACTCTTTCTTGCTTACATAGCAAGCAAAATAGTATTGCTCTCTTTAGAAAGAATCAATAGAAAGTACCTACTTTTTTTTTCCCCCTTCCCTTTTTTTTAATTAAAGGAACCTGATGTCATCTCAATATAAAAATCAAGTAGTTATTTTTTCCGTCTCATTTCACATACAGTTGAACTAATTTTAAAAAGGCAGAAGAAACTATCACACCTAGGTCATTTTTAAAAGAGTCTTTCTTCTGCCCTTAGAAATATTTCCTTTTTCATACACTTTCATTATTTACAATTTCATAATTGTATTTTATTGTTTTTTTAAATAAAGAATCAAGCTATTCTTCCTTCCCATGCAGTTAGTTATGAGAGAGAAACCTTCAAACCTAAGATGCTGTAAACGGTCCTGATGTTGCAAATACATGCTTGCTAAAACAGCTCTGCAAATCTCAGCAATTCCACTTATGTCTACAAAATTGAATCTATGCCCCAGTAGCACAGATTTTCACTATTTAACAGACATCCAAAACATGGTCACCGCCAGTCTGTGCACAGAAAACTATCACAATAGGAAGGTAAAGACATGCAGCATATATGTTTTTGAAAATGCATAATAGGTAAGCCTGGTATACATCTAAACAACAGAACCCACTACGCACAGGTGCACTCTTACGTATCCAAATGTGTGTGTGTGGGAGGGATGAAAATCCTACAAACTTACTCATACTACAATAAAACTTAGCCAAACAAAAATATGACCAGGATCAGATACTTGCAACCACTTCAGGAGAATGAACTTATTATTGCCACATTGCCCTCACTAGAAGATGATGACATTTGAACTTCATCTGTGCAATGTTCCAGGCAGCACAGGCTCCTAGCAATCCTACAGATAGATTTTAAAGATGAGACAGCAAAGGAAAATCAGATTTCTTGTACTGACCAAATAATGTATTCTCCAATATTTTTAAACATTCTGAAACATGGCATCTGAGCATCAATTAAATGCAGACCACAGGACCTATGAAATGCTGCTAGGAGAAATCCAATTTTTCATGTTCATAAAGGATAGAAAATAAAGTCAAATTTATTCCTCAGAAAATTCTACATTGATCATTTTAAAATCTATTCCTACCATGCCTAGTGTTTAAACACGTCTAAAGAAGCTGAACGCTGACATCCTATCCTCTGAATTCCTGCTTCCAGGTGACGATAGAAGCTTTAAAACCTATACAAAGCAAAGAATAAAATACTTTGAAAAGGAACAGATGTTGCAAAGAAGAATCAAGCAGCAAAGAAATGGCAAGTGCTTAGGGACCAATTTTCAAAATCCCCCCATGTGGATTCCAAAAACACTGGATGCTAAGTTACCTTTGAAAGGTAACTATGTAATTCCCTGGCTTAGTTGAGAATCACTTTGATACTCTCAAGTGAGTAGCAACCAAGTAAAGCAGAAATTTTAAGTAAGGTTCATCTTGCCTAACTTGCAACATCTACAGACTAGCATTTTGCGCTCCATTTTTAACTGACAGAAACAAGCTCTTCTGGAACATGATTCACATCACCTGACAATTTACTGTAAATATATGTATCAGATGAATTGTGCTTGACAAGAGCCCAACTACTTCCATTAGTTGTGAAGAGAGTTTAAACCACTAGACCAGATGTAGGTGTTTACATTATAGATGTACAAAGTTAGATACAATTAATTCTATGCTGCATGTTTTGGATAGGCAAATTGACTATTAGCTTCTAGCCAGTGCTGATAAACTAAAGGGGAGACATAATTCCACTTTGTAAAGACACAATTAATGGGTACTGACTCTATGTCTAGCTATACAACTAAAACTCCAAAAAATGAAATTTAGGTGTGTATAAATATATACATGTGTTTGCATAAACGGAGGTTGTAACAGCAAAATTACAATGCAGATCTAGCTGGATGGTACAGAAAGACCTGTATGTTTGATATGGACAGAAAGATAGTAGCTATCACGTTTGTGCATGCAACCACAGTCTTTGTGCACATGCACAGAAAGTCATTTTTGTAATATGAATAAAAAAGTATGGAAACACAAGAAAAAGAATCAAGATGCAAGTAAGAGAAAAACAATGAATTAAGCAGGTATAAATTAAAGGTCTGAGGTAAAAGCTGTTTTCAAAACTAAAGCCAAATTTTCACAAAAATACACTAACTTAAACAACTCTCCTATTGTTTTAAGAAAATAATATATTTGTTTTCAATATTAAGCATGTAAAACACTTTATTATAGGATATCTTTAAAATAAATAAAATGCTATTTTATGTCCTATCTGTGACCATAACTTCACTAGGGAGATGCTCCCAGGGAATAAGTAAAATAAGCAGAAAGAATTCAACCTGTCTAGTGTTGCACTTGCAAATGTTCCATGTAAGACAGTGATAGCAATTGCAAAAGCAATTGCTCAAGTCTGCAAATATCAGTTCAGTATCAGGAAAAAGACAAATGTAGATCCTTCAGTCTAGAAAGCCACAACTTCCTCTGACAGTCTTTGAAGCACAC